CAAATTTCATTGGCGGGAAACGATTTTGCGAACTACACAATATACAAAGCTGAAACTTTGCAGGGATATTCTTTGTGTATGTGCGAACTGAAAATTTCAAAAACAGCTGCCGCGCGCGCTTGTGAATCGCGTACGGCCACGTCAAAGTTTGCGACTTGGTACTATGCTAACTCGAAAACTTGCCGGAAAACTGTGGCTGAAATTTTGTCAGGATGTCTGTCTCCCATATAGGAAACAGTGCCGCTAAAATGTATACTGATTGCGCCACGACATAGGGCACTTCAAAAATATTTGTAGCGAAAGTGGATATTTCGCTTGCCGGATAAGCTGCGAGGCTAAAATCGTTCGGGTTCGGATATTCTACTTTCAAGTGCGGTCTTAATTCTGCTTGGAGGTGGAATTCCCTCTAGGTAGGCGTGAGAAATGTTCAAATTTACCGAAAAATTAGGAGAGACGGGTGTGTTTTGCAGCGAACGACCGCCCTCATCCAAATATGTAAAAGAACATTAGTTCATTTGCTTACTCGGATTTTTTCACATACAAGCGCTCGAGCAATACTTCCATTTTTTAGTGAAGTGAAAATTTGCATTTTTTCAAAAAATGTGCATTTTCATTTTTTAAAAAATCTGGCATTTACCGAAAAAACTGCCTAGCTTCTTGCAGAAAACTGTAATCACGTACTCGGAGGTCCATGCGGCTGTATAATGTAACACCTTCACCGATGCCCATTCTGCTATATGCCGGTGCCCAAAGTATGGCCAATATGAGCCCAACTGTTTCCTGCAGCGCAGGATTATTCTTGTTATTAGCGGCTTGCGAGTTTAGCGCAAAAACGCATGATCGGATCGGCAAGCCTGTTGCGTTCCAGCCCTGGTTGTAAAACTATTACACAACACAAACCCAGGTTGGAACACACCGGGCGAGCCCGTGCGATCATGCGTTTTTGCACCGGACTTGAAGTACTCAGGTCATTAATTGCATGAACAGTCGCTGCTTTGCACCTACCTTTTGCGATCACTAGCATGAATCACCATAAATTTTGCACAAAGTAGATGTACAATTTCCGTTTATCGATCGTTCTTTAAAAGTAACCTAGTTGCTCAGTCAAATACTCAGCCAAAATTTTGAGTGCCCGTACGTAAGAACCACGCGTAACTCAAGGCTGAATTTGAAATACTTAAGTTGTACTTGGACAGGGAACATTCCCCCTAAAGTTTCAACCTTCCAGCTTTTCTAGTTGCCGAGTTAGTAATTTTTCCGCAGAAACTTTCTTAAGTCCTTTAGTACATTTCCTCATAAGTTTCAGCCTTCCACCTTTTCTAGTTGCCGAGTTAGCAATCTTTCCGCAGAAACTTCCATAAGTCCTTACGTAAGTACCAGCATAGCTTGGGGCTGAATTTGAAATATTTGAGTTGTACTTGGACAGGGAATATTCTCCCAAAATTCCGGCTGAATTTGAAATATTTGAGTTGTACTTGGACAGGGAATATTCTCCCAAAATTTCAGCCTTCCAACTTTTCTGGATGCCGATTTAGCAATTTTCCCGCCAAAACTTTTACATGTCCATACGTGAATACCCTACGTACCTGGAAAGCTGAATTTGAAATTTTTAAATTTCAGCCTTCCAGCTCTTCTGGCTGCCGAGCTAGTAATTTCCCTGCAGAAACTTTCGTACGCTCTTACGTGAGTACCACTGATATCTGGGGGCTGAGTTTGAAATATTTGAGTTGTACTTCGGTAGGGAACATTCCTCCAAAATTTCAGGTTTCTTGCTTTCCTGGCTCCCGAGTTAGCAATTTTCCAACTAAAACTTTCAAACGTCCTTACTTGAGTACCACGCATACCTGGAAGCTAAATTTGAGCAATTACTAAAACCCGGCTCGGCTTGGCTCGGCACGGCTCGGCTCGGCTCGGCTGGTGTCTTACCCGATCAGCCAAAAATTTTTTGTATGGAGACGGGAAGCGTTACCCGTTGAGCCCTATGCTACTGGTGCGGTGAGGGCTATTACGGTGGGGGCATATAGCTCTGGGACATTGTGAAAGTGTTGAAGTAAAATAAAATTAGAAGTGGGAAAGTTTTGTGTGCGGGTGCATGGCATGCATTATGAAGGTGCCTTGTGTAGTTTATATGTATCATTTTGTATT